GCCCCATGGAGTTTTTTAAAGAGTATAGACTTCATGTTAAGTCTTCTTACCCAGCTCCAAATTATGCCAAATATGTTACAGACATATGTTTGTTTTCAAAAGGAAAATTAAAAAAAAAATAACTTTTTCTAAGTAATAAACATAATACAAAGAATTCCGATTGTGGATCAGTACCTGCCCTTCTGCCTCTTCTATTTGCTAAGTACAACTACATACCCTGGATGTGATTTTAAAACAAATGTTAACAGGGCTTTGAAAGGTGGAAAGAAGGCAGGTTGGCTTGTTGCCTTGAAAGATGTGGTTGGACTTCTGGCTTCAGCCTGGGTGCTGGAGACACAAGAACCAGGAAATGCCAGTGGGTTGACAAAAAGAGCCCTCCTGCTGTCTGACCTCTCTAGATAAAGGGCTGGGAAAGGCACAGCCCCGCAAGAGGAAGACACTTAGTTAATAGTCACTCACACAGAAAAAACATTAATGTGGGAGGCCTGAGCCTCCTGGGCGGGAGAGTCCTGCTTACAAAGTTGTTTCCTGGCTGGCATCTGGGAACTTCATGATAAACTACACGGTTATTAAACCTTTCCTAAATGGGAAGGGAGTCTATCATTGTGCCTTGAAGCAAACAGTCAAGATTTCTGTGGACTTTATTGCACACCTGTTTTTAGGGGTCTGGAATTGGTACTAAGCAGTGGGTAACTATGTGACTGACCAGCCCACACCCAAAGCCTGCGGTACTAAGTCTCTAATGATTTTCCCTCTAATAAAATTCATACCAGTGACACAATTCATTGAGGAAAAATGAAGTGCATCCTGGGCAGATCCACCGGGAGAGAACTGGTTCCCTTTGAACGTCATTCCATGAAGCTTTCCCCATTGCTGATTTTGCTTTGTAGCCCACAAAAAGAAACCGGACAGAGAAATGGGAAAACCAAAAACAGAAGAAGCAAGCAGGTAACAATTGAGTGGAACACTGAAGCCTTAATAAAGGGTCTATTTTATTTGTAAAAGCCAAAAACTGGAAATAAACAATACGTGCAATAGGTGAATGTCTGGAAAATTCTGTAAATCCATACTCTGGAATCCAACTCAGTCAGTAAAAGGGACTGACTACTGATACACACAATAAATTAACTTGAACAGATCTCACCGGCCTTATGTTAAACACAAAGGCATAGCCTATACAATAGCATCTACATAGCATTCTGGAAATGACAAAACTCTAGAGACAAAAGACATATCAGTGATGGAGGGTTAGCAATGGTGAGAGGAATGGGGGTGGTTGTGAGTATAAAGGAGTAAGTAGCACAAGAAATATCTTTATGGTGACAGAAGAGTTCTGTATCCTGATTGTAGTAGTTACACACATCTACACATGATAAAATGGCATAGACGCACAATGTCAGTATCCTTTGGAGACTGGACTAAAGTTACATAAGGTGCAATCATTTTTCAAGACGGGGTGAAGGGCATTATGATCTCCTTTTTTGCAACCTATAATTATTTAAAAATATCACATATAAAACATATAGTCATGTATATGCATAAAGCACAGGAAAAGCAAATTTGCAAGGATAGGCATTGCAATTTACATTGGTAAGTTATAAATATTTACAGCTATAGCTATTATTTGAATTGTAAAAATGCCTTCATGATTTTCTGATATAAAAATCATTGTAAAAAATTCAAACAGAAAAATAGATGAGAATCACCTGTTCTATGGTACCATCAAGAGATAAACCATTAATTTACGTAATGAGTACTTCCTAATTGCATCATGTGTAGTAGCCATAAATCACTAACATTTTGGTGTATGTTTCAGAACTTTCGTGTGCATTTAAAGTCATATACAAATCATAAGCATTCACTGATATGTACTTCTATAATATGTATCATTATACATAAGTACACATATTTCTTGACATTCTCTTCATTCATTTAGCAAATATTTTCGAGCTTCATTTTAGCCATGAACATGTTGAATCAGACATGTTCTATCTGCTCACTAAACTTGCTATACAGTGACTCACTCAAATTTCTATTAAGAAATAAACAATAGGGCCCTCCCTGGTGGCGCAGCGGGTTAAAGCACTGCACTGAGAAACTAAAGCCACTTCCGCATGAGTTCGATCCCCGCCTGCCCGGGAGGTGACCACATGGCGTGGCAGACCTCTGCTGACCCGCCCGCTGCTCCCCTCAGCGGTGTACTTCGTCGATCTGCCTGTTCTGCTCCCTGCTCTGTCTCTGGTGAATCCTCTCACCCTCCGCATCTCTGGCCTGTACCCCAGCTCTGTACAAATAAATAAATAAATCTTAAAAAAATTAAAAAAAAAAAAAGAAATAAACAATAGAGATTTTGCCAAGTGTAGACAACTGTAAAACAATGCTTTGAAATGCCAAATTGTGAAAGGGAAGGATTACCACTACCATGGCAAGATACCATGTCATGTTTATCACTGACAGGACTGAACCATTAGGAAAAGGTTAAAGGTACAAGAGAAGGACACTAGATTTACAGAAAACTTCTAGAAAGGGAAAGAGCCAGACCAAATATAAGGGTTGGCTTGAGGCATAAGGAAATTGGTGCCATTGCAACAGAAGCAAAAGCAGCCAGGGTTAGTATAGATATGACTTTGTCGATTTAGAGGTTTATAGTTGAGGTCTTTATTAGACTTTCCATTTATTTTTTAGCAAACTATGAAACAATTGGCATCTGTCAAAAGTAAAGATAAAATGGAAAATCCAAGGTTTAAAAAAGAGCTGAGGTTTTAAGTAGTCATTTTAGGAAAGTGAGTTGAATTGAGAAAGGTGGTAATCTCTTCAGGGCTGTATGGGGCAGCCTCTAACCAATTTCAGCTCACCGGCAGCAGTCAGGAAAAAAGTAAGGGTATGGATATTAGAAGGGAGAAACAAAGTGCTATAGCGAGCTAAATTTTAGAAAGAAATGAAAAAGAAGATTGTCTTCTAACTGGGAAGAGAGGGAAAGATTTATGTGGGAAAATCTGAGATGGGGAAAGATTAAGAAGGCAGTTGCTGGAAGAAAATGGCCTAAAGATAAAAAAGGAAGAAGGAAGTTAACAGGTCAGGGGAGATGCAGATAAAAGTAAGATGGTGGTGATTTTCTGGTCCTCATGCAGGAATCCAAACATGGCTGAAGTGATATCAGCAGTTTTTCTGACTTGTGAAATTGGTCCTACAATTCTTTTACCATATTAGAACTATCTAAATTCTGTGGAAGAATTGTCAAGGATCTTTAATTGCTGGAAAGAAGACTGTGAGAGGCACAAATATTATTATTTAGCTATTTATGCTTACAGAACTGGGGTATAGGCCAGAGGTGTGGTGGGTGAGAACATTCACTAGAGACAGAGTGGGGAACAGAACAGGCAGATGTACAGAAACACTGCAGAGGGGAGCAGCAGGCGGGTCAGGAGAGGTCTGCCACACCATGTGGGTCAGCTCCCTGGCTGGGGACTGAACTTGTGCCGCAGTGGCTTCTGAGAGCTTCATAGTGCGGAGCTTTAACCCATTGTGCCATCAGGGAGAGCCCATTTTCTCTTCTTAATGGCAGTTGTGAGTTGCTGTGAGCCTTCTTAGGTTCATTTTGTATGTATTACTAGTTTCCAAGAGTACAGTTCCTTTATTCAGGTTTCATCTACTCCAATTGTTTTCTCAGCGTTATTTTTTATTTCACGACTAGCAAAATAGAAATGGATATGGAAGAACTGAGATCGGAGCAAAAGATAACTTAAAACCATCTGTGAAATGAACATTTAAAATACTCTGTGGCCATTATTTATTGAGAAATACTAGTATTCAACACAGTCGACAATTATTCATACTCTAGTAATACCAAATTTAAGCAGACCCTTTGAATAGTAGCTATCTCATTAAAAAGGACCTCCTTATGAACATGTTGCTTTAAGTTAGCATGCTTGAAATGTTTTAGTTGAGCCTGATGGTCAACAAATCACAACAGCAAAAAATACGGAGTGACCAAGCAGCTAATCAGCATGTGAACAAGCAAGAATAGAGTTGACTGAAAGAAAATTATGATTAATCCTGGAATTCCTTGTGGGGTTCAGTTTCTTGTCATGGCTGGATTGCAATTGTAATTTTTGTTCAAATTCTTTTAATTTGGGGCTTTCTCTTTTTTTGGAAAGAAGAAAATTTTATGTTACTAAAAATGCTTATTGAGTAGAATTCACACATTACTAGTGCAATAAATATCACAAAAGAGAGGGAAGAACATAAAATATTGTCTTAACTACAGTGCTAAATCACAAAACTGGTGCTTCCCTTCTACCACAGCCAAGAGGGAACTTGAATCCATCACATAATTGTCAAATAGGACGAAAGATACAAGTAATTCAAAGACTAGTGCAAACTCGACAATTTTCACCTTTTCCCTTCCCTTTTAAACCCAAAATTTTGTTTTTAGTCCTAAAAAACAACCTAGTGGGTAATGATTTTCTTATTTTTCTGGTTTTGGCCTTACAGTTCTTTGTATGGACCAACTAGGGACTTCTGAGTTTCTGTCAGTTGCTGGAATTCTTTTGTCAGGGCTTGTCATTAGCTTTCCTCGCAGTCAGAGGGAAGATGCCAAGGAGGCGGGGATGAGCGGGGAGAGATACAATACGGTACTATAGTCATCTCCATGGCAGCTCTCATTTGCTTCCTTGAACTGCTCCTCCCCTGTTTTTGACGATCTTCAGTTTCCCCTTGGATTAAAAAGAATAAATCCTAAAGTCTTGTAATCACTAGCGATGGTGCCCTCTGGTGCCACGAGGGGGGTCTTAAGTTGTCACCTGCTAGGTCTCACACGAGTCCTGCCACACTAGCGGAGGAATCAGAACAGAGCGGAAGGGCCCCCGCTCCGACTACAGGGAAACAATACAACAGACGTCACACCCAGAGCCCCCAGGGCACTCTACGCCTACAGAAGAGCGCATGCGCACACGTGGCCAGGCAGGCCTAATCGCGGGGGGGGGGGCGCCTGCGGGCGTCTGCACAGCAGAAAAGCCCGACTCCCTTATCTCTGCGAGGCGCTCCCTGGAAACGGATACCGAGGACTACCTCTGCGACTAGGGACTCAGAAAGCAGCACTCCGGTTATCCGACGTATTTTGGCCTGCAAGGCTAACTTCCGGTTCCGCTGCCGGTTCCGGTCCCTACCTTCCACTTCCGGTCGCTTGGGTTCCGCTGCGGCCGGTTTCTGCGTCCGCTGCCGCTGGTTCCGCCGCGCTTCAGGTGAGGGGACCTGCGGCTCCGGTCGCGCTAGCTGCGGAGGCGCCGTTGGGCCGGGGGACCGCGGCTCATCTGTCTCCTTGGCGTGGCCCTTTCTGCGGCCGGCGAGGCGGGTTGGGACGCGTCCGTCCTGACGTCCTGATCTCCTGCCCCGGCCTGCGGGTCGCAGCGGCCACCGCCCTCCGGTCGGTCGGTTCTTGTTGCTTGTGTCGGGGACTCTCCACGTCCAAGTGGGTTTCGCGTCCCCCAACTTCCTTTCTCCCATTCCTGGGGTTTTCCCATCCCTCCCCTTACCTACCTTTCCTGTTGAGGGCACCCCAACCCTCTTGGGTATTGAAGAGGTCCCCCTTCCGCTGCTCGGGCCCCCGCGGTTGCTGCGGGCGTGCCTTCCGGAGCAGAGGTGACAGTCCTTCGCTGAGACCTCTGCTAAGCACAGGGAAATGTTACCCCCCTTCCTTCAAACTCCAAGATGCATAACTTCTGCACCTGTGACTTTCAAGTGTCCCCTTTGCTACTTTTCAGTTGTGTGTGGTCTTGCACGAGTCGTTTCACTAATCTTGCAGTTTTTTAATCTGTAAAAGGAAGACAGTAGTTGTTAGTTTAGGCTCGTGAAGATTGAAGGAGGTAATTCAATGAAATGGTCCACCATGTCTTCATCGTCACTCCAGCATCACCACCGGTAGTGTTACTCTTTGCAGCGTACAAAGTCAAGGATTATCAGTTTCACACCTTACCACTCTGCTTGTCAATTACATATTACTGGCCTCTTGGAGTTAGGAGTTACAGATTGACTAGGCCAACCAACACAGAATGTTGGTAGAAGCAATTCAAACAATTATTTTTTGACTGTACGTTCACCATTACACCTGCTCTGTACTTAGCTACTGTGTGTTTGGTTGCTAACCCCTGTCTAAATCTGATGGGGTCTGGAAAAATAAAAATAATAGAATGTGCGAGGAAATTACCTGTGAAAACCTAAACGTGTTCGTGCATTTGTATTGTGCTGCTCCACTGACTATGGAAGAAATGAGGCTTGGTAACTTATAAAAACAGTTTTAAGGACTTGTGCTTTTTTTTTTTTTTTTTAAATTATGTTGTTTGTTTTGTTTTGCTCAGTCCTTTAGAGCATTTGCCAATTTAGAATTCCCACTTGTGGCCTAGGCAATGCCTAATGTTTGTATACTGCTTTACTAAGCACATAGAATCCATGCCATCTGGCACAAACTGGGACAATTATAGAACCTAGAACAATGACTCTCAAACTTGAGCATGCCTAGGAGACAGGCTAGGAGTGGAGGAGGGGATTGTTAAAACACAGGTTGCTGGACCCCTGCTCTTCACCGGGAGTCCTGTTCATTGATCTTGAGACCACACTTTAAGAACCTGTCCAAGGTCACCTGGAGGTCAGCTGGTTTTACTCCAAATTCTGTTTTTCCCATCACAGCATATACTGTTACTAGCACAGATTGCATTCTTAGTGCTTACAAATTTTAATCTTAAATTGCCTCTTAAAGAAAAATAATAGTGAAACTGTTTCAGTTTGACCTCACGGTTCATTTGGCTTTTTATTGGAAGATTGTAATAGTTAGAGCAAGTTAGCTCTCAAGTGGGATACATTGCCCTAAATTAACATGCTTGCTTTAAGTTTAGTAGGACATTGTAAACAAATGAGATAAATATAGGTAAACTTATGGTGTTCTCTTCTACTATTGGACATATTGAAGACAATTTAAATTTCCAAATTATTTTCACATACTGCTTTTAAAGTTACATATTCTCTCTCTCTTTTTAAAGATTTATTTTATTTATGCATACAAGAATGGGGTGTAAGCTAGATGTGCAGTGTAGGGGTGTGTGTGAGAGGATTCACCAGAGACAGAGTGGGGAACAGAACTGAGAGACCTACTGAAATACCCTGCTGAGGGTAGCAGTGGGAGAGACAAGAGAGGGCTGCTGTGCCATATGTGAGTCAGCCTCCTGGCCAGGGATCAAATTTATGCCTTAATGACTGGTAATAACTTAATAGAGCAAAGACTTTAACCCCTGCACTGCCACGGAGACCCCTTTTCTCTCTCTTTTCAAGTTACCTTTTCTCTTGCATTTGGTCTTAATACATGAGGAGTACATTCAGATGTTTCATCTACTAAGTCACTGCTTTTGGAAGTAGCAATACTTCAAAATTAGAAAATCCAGTTCTCAAACCTGTAGGGGGAATGGGCTGTGAGCACAGGTAGAAAACTTAAAGGCGGAGAGAGCCTCCATGCTACTACTGATGAGAGGAGCAGCTGCATTGTAATCTTGCATACCTCTATGCCTGATTCTTGGTGTCTGAACTCCTTTGTTGGTCCATTTTGGGAGGCAGTTGGCTAGGGTAGGAAAGGAGATTTAGTCAGAATACCAGCTCCCTTACCAGCTGTATGCCATGACAGGTTACATAACCTCTCTGAACTCCCAATTGCACTTGCAAAAGAGGGACAAGTCTTATCAAACAACCTTGTTAAACAAGATTATCTGCATAAAATGGTCTATTTTATTAAATATGGAACATGTAATGGTTGTTGATCATTTATTTAGCCAGTTCTTGGCATATACTGAGCGTTTTATTTTAAAAAATGTTATTAACCAGTTCTTAATGCTTACTGTGTGCCAGGAACATGTGACTTAGAAATATTACTAATTCAGTCTTTATAAAATCCCTAATATGTTGGAGTATTATCCTTATTTAAAGATGAGGAAACCTAGCCAGAAGGGGCCCAGGATTTTCCCAAAGGTAAAATGCTAATAAGTTGGAATGCTGGGATTTAAGCAGGTAGTCTACTCTGGAATTACTGCTCTACAGTACTCACTCTACTTCCCCAATATTAATGACTATGAATGGCCCATTGTGGAGGAACTTAACTATGACATAAAAATTCAATGAGACCCAGCCAGAGGAATAGGTAACGCATAGTAACTTTCCAGCGGAACAGGGAGAATCTGCTAGAGTCACTAGAAGTCCAGTGCACTATCCATTGTGCCACAGAGCCACTGAGAATCTGCTAGAGTGTTAAGAAACAGTGACTTTTTTTTTATTTTTT